AGAACAAGGCCACATCAACATCGGTCCCTCTTGGTGGACGCGATGGTGGTCAATCGATGCTGTCATATCTGGTTTGGGGCAATGAGACGAGAGAAGAGAAGAAGAGGTCTCGAGGGTGGAGACGTTATCTGCATCAAGTGCACGAGCTTCCATCACCTGTCATACCACATGCTCGTGACTTGAGACTCCACCTCATAGACGAGAACCTCAACTTCAAAGAGGTTTTGGGGTGGACCGAAACTTAGGAGCCATCGTCCGGCTCACGACGTGAAAGAAGCGCTTGTTGGGAGGCAACCCAACCAGTCGGTTTGCATTTCTTTCTCTTTTTCTCCTCGGTTGAGTCAGTTTTGTTATTTGATTTTAGAGTCAATAATTCAACCTTTGTGAGATTTTGTGTGGTGTTTTTGGTCTGACCATTCTCTCCTCCTGGAATACGCCGCCTGCCCCGTCCACAATCATTCACCCTGGATCTGGTAACTTCGTTCTACCCTCCTTATCTTTCCTCCATTGAGGACAATGTCGTGCTTAAGTGTGGGGGGATGTTCGATTATGTATCCGTGTGAATGTTTGACTGTTTGTGTGCTTGGAGCCTAGTCCACTGTCCAAATTTCGATTTGAGGGCTCCAAGTACGTGTTCCTTGCAATTGCCTGCTCAGTATGCTTTGAATTGACAGTCTTTATTGTAATATGCAACCTAGGGAGGTAGTGTAGCACTATGGAGGATGTTGATGCATTTAAGAAGTCTCATTTCTTCTTCATATTGTGTTGGTTGATTGAGTGAATTAGTGATCTTAGGACCCTTGAATTGTGTGGTGTTGTGGACTCTCTACCTGTCATGGACTCTTGTATCATGTTTTGAAATAAAAGGTGCTCGATAATGTGCTTTAAAATAACGTCTCCCGTGCGAATAGGGCGAAAGTGTGTAAGGGGAGACGGGAATTCGTTCCCAATTTCCACCTACTACCTCCAGCCCTCTTACATTCCTTTTCCCCGCACGAGGCTCGAGACATTCTCTTCCGGCATGGCCGGTAAGAGCCGGGTTCCCGCAAAACCTTTGCTAGGTGGGAGCCCCGTTTTCTGAAAATCAGGTTGGAACCCTTGAAAAAGAAAGAAAAAAAAAGAGAACAAAAGAAAAGGAAAAAAAAGGGGTTCCAACCGTCTTCAAAAAGAAAATAAGAGCACCTTGAAAAATGTGAGTCCATGATCTTTTTTTTTTGAGAGTCTCTTCGTCCACGATTCATTTGTCCTCTGATCACTATTTGCCATGATGCCGACTCGAAACTAGCGTTCTCACCGAAGAAGCTATGAGATGACTTGTGCGTCGGTTGACCTCGTAAGCTGCTAAATGATCTAGAAACTCCTCTATCAAGGATCGAGGGTGCATGTTGCTATAGAGGTCTGGAGAGCTGCATTGGTTTGAGTTAGGTTTGCTTGGGGACAAGCAAACGGTTAAGTGTGGGGGAATTTGATGACTCGATATTTGCACATGTTTTCCCTTTGTTTCTTGATCGTTTAAGCTTGCATTATTGCTTCTTTGGCCTATTTTACGCTAGGTTGTGTTCATTTGTCACATTTCAGGTCCTAGCACATAAAGTGAAGCGTAGGCGCAAGTTTCAAGTCAATCGGAGATCAATTGGCGACTCGGGGGAAGAAACTCGGGTATGACTTGAAGAAGAAGGGATTTCTACCTCAGTTTGTGACCATATAATCATGTAATCTTGTCATGAGAAGAAAGAGGACGAGAATACGACCATCTAGGATCAAACGGCACCTGATTTGGAGTTCGAACGAGGGAGAAACGAAGAATCAAAGATAGGGGAAAATTGGTTTCGGGCTTCTCTGAGAAACAGAAGGGGGCCCTATCGTGACACTAAAATCCCCGGTAGGGGATTTTTGGCCTTGATAGGGGATTTTCCCTTGTCTCCAGACGTTGCGTTTTCAAAAATCCCCTATCGTGAACCAAAAATCCCCGGTCATGAACCAAAATCCCCGGTCGTGACCCAAAAATCCCCGGTCGTGAACCAAAAAATCCCCTGTCGTGACCTAAAATACCCTACCGGGTATTTTGACCGGGGATCGCGAACACAGGCTGTTAAAAGCCTGTTTTGTGCGTTTTTGCAAGGGAGAGCTGGGTTTTGGATCCCAAACACCCTAGGGACGAACCAAAGAGAGAGAGGGCGATTTGAGGGCATTCTTGGAGTGGAATTGGAGGATTTCTTTGCCTTGGAAGCTCGAGGAACAAGCCCGGACTTGAAGACTGATCATCTAAAGATTCTTACTGCAGTCTCTCTCTTCTCTATGGAGTAACTTCCCTTCACTTAGGTTTTGAGGAACCCTAGCTATGTTTGTTTGATTGGATGATTGTATGATTACTCTGACTTGATAATCTTAAGTTCATATTCAATCTATGCATGTTTTCATGATTCAATTCTGCTTTAGTCAAGATTATTGATTCTGCTTTGATCCTATGAGAGGGAATACCTGATTAGGTCAATAGAGC